TGCGTTTCAATCGATCGCGGCTAATGCGGCTCTTGAAATGCTCCTAGTCACTCTCTATTCTGTATTGTGTCCTGCATTGTTTTTCCCGCGTATTGTGCAACCGCTGAAAGAGGTAGCGCGATTCACGTGGCCAATTTGACATTGACGTGACTAATTCGGCGGATACACTGGAAGAAGACGAGGCGAGGAGAGGACAAGTTTTCGTGTAATATTCAATTTTCGAAGAAGCAAATTTTCAGCCGCAACAGCATTAATGGCGATAAATGTACATCGGTTGCCGTACGTCCGGTGCCTATCCATGCTCGCATCTCGCAATTTCCATTTCGCTTTCAAGCCTCGAGTATCCTGTATCCGCGCTGTAAATGCGTCAGTCGGCGATATACTTATTCGACCGCACAGCCTCCTCCACCGCCGCCGTTGCCGCCGCCGCCATATCTGCGATCGCGCGCATGGGAGCCCGCAACCGCGGCCGCAACGTTCTCTCCACGGCCGCGATGGAGCGAGCCAGATAAGCGCCAGACTCTTGCGGGGGTCAATCGTTAATTTCCACGGGATTCCACGTGCTGACAATACGAGGAATACAGGTGGACGGCAGATGAGAGATAGGCGTTGCTCGCCTGAGCTCCTCACGACGCGAACGACACGACTCGAAACGAGAAACAAACGAGAGCACTTTGACTATCGCCCGCTCGAAGAAAATAGACCGTCAAACGCTCTACCCGCTACCGTTCGCTCGATTGTGTCCTTTATTCATCAGCTTCGTTAACTCTTGTAATTCAAGATGCTAACTTCTAACAAAGTTGGCAACATTAATCTACTATATAATATCATATAATTTGAGAGCATTATAATTCTCGCGATAATTCTCGTCTAAATAGTGCGGATACTATAACGTTAGTACTCTTCTCTCTCATGCTTTGCATTGTCAACAGCTCATTCTTTTTCTCTCTATCGTTTTATTCTGCCTGCGCATCGTCCTTTTTTGCCTGCGTTAAACCCCTCGGGACAATCGCGCGCGTTAACAGTGCAAGCAGATAATAATAACAGAGCTCGACTCGGAACGAGCCGTTCACGTCACGACGCCAGCCCCTGGGGGAAGAAGAAACGTCTTAACTACTTCGCCGCAAGAAGACGAGAAACGAATCGATGTAGCCACACGTGCTACCGTTCTCCGCCGTCGTTCTCCTCCTCGCGTTCGTGCGACTTCTCTTTCTCGAAGCCGTTTCTACCGTTGTCCGTGCCGACTGGTCGTTCGGAATACAGCGCCCTGAGACTCGGGGGGTGAAAGGGAGGAGTATCGAAGAGTCTCCGGCTAGGTCGATCGTGGCATACGAGACAAGACGCTGGAGTCTCTCTACGAGAACGCAGACGAGATACTCGGTTCTCGGAATGAGCGGAAGAGTTGCTGCACCCGCCGCCGCCGCCGCCGTCGCCGCCACCGCCGCCGCGGCGGAGCGGAGCCGTGAACTCTCGTACGTGCGCACGTACTCGGGGACGATGCGCGCGTGTGCGCCGAGCTCGTGCTGCGCATCGTGCAGAACACGAGGAATAATTTGTGGACAGGGCACGACGACGATTGGAACATTTACTCCGCACGCTATGCCCGGTGTACCTTATGCGATGGGATCTTCGTGGCCGCCGGCGTTCCGGCCGCCGCTCGCTCGGGCATTACGGTGCCTTACTTCAAACACGATCCTCCTCAAGACGGGAGTGTTCTTCAGGAGCGAACAACGGCTATTGTCGTCAGCGATTGCGTGTGACGTGAAGCTAAGGATCGCCCGAACGATTTCATGAATTAATAAAAATTCTGTAATTAATAAATGCGCTCTGTAATTATAATTTTGCGTGATTTGCTAATTTTCTTCAAATTCTAATTCTTAGTTAATAATTAATTAATTAATTAATTATTTACTGTATTTCCTAATTTCTACTAAAAGAAATTTTTCTTTGCCGTCCAAATTATATTTTGCGGAACTATGAAGATGAAAGTTTTATATTGTTAAGAATAACTTTTTTTTTATCTGGCCATTCGTCAACGTGTTTGAATGCCCTGGAATTACGGAAAGCATATCCGCAGGATCATCATATATCAAATTATAACTCGTTTATAATGAAACGAGACGATCACTTCGCCTTTGTGGCCGCTGCGACTCGTACGTTGTCCGTGCCAGACGGCTATCGACAAGCGATAGCAGCGATTTAATTTCCGCGATTTATCGTCCGTTTCCACCAACGCGAAACAACCTGTCCCATTTGCGGCTCAGTCGCCGGCCCACGGGGCAATAATTCCAACATCCCAGGGTAGTATGTATCACACGAGACGTACGCACTATACGCTGCTCATACGTGGTCCGTTCTCGCTTTAACGCTCCTCTTACTCTTGCCCTGAACGTCCTCTCTTCTTCCCTCTTTCTCGCGAAGTGTAACGGGCGTGCGTATAATCTCGCGTCCCAGCGACGAGGTTCTAGTAAGTACGCCCACCCTAAGTGTCTTCTCACATCAGGCCTCAAAGAACATCGCCGCCGTCGTCGCGGCACACAAAGATGTACGTTATTCTCAATTAGTGTCGCTGACAGAATCATGACGTTCTTCGTTGCATCGTCAATATGCGAGTTATCTCTTTCCGATAAACATATCTTTCTTCGAAAAAATTTGTTTTTCATTCGAGGATAAATTTGGTTTATGTTCTTCCATGATATATTTATTATTTATTTTTGTATTAAAATTGAAGTTAATATCTATTATCTTCGAAGCTTAATTTTTTAATTTAGTTGCTAAGAATTGTCTTTAAAATTGTAACATCGGGAAGATTCTTCAGAGTTCTTTGGGAAAAGTCAGCATCGCATCGGCTAGATCAAAGTTCTGGAAATAAGATATTAATCTCGCATAGGTGAAAGTTAGTCTATAAAAGGATTACTTTCACTACAGCAGAGATGAAACGGTAAATGCGAATTCTAAACACCCTTAGATTTCTGAGCAGAAAATGACGTGTCGACACTGTCGACTATAGCTAGGAACAAATGTTACGAAACGCCCGTGTCATACCTGCCGGAACTGCCGGAAGAAGCATCCGACATATCGTAATGAGCCAGCGCGTATATTCCGTCACATGTGGTTTTTTTTTCTACGCGGCACGTGCGCGATGCCAGGGGGTCGTCCATAGGGGTGTGCCGCCCGACGGTCAGGGGCAGATAGCCATCGGGAGTCATCTGGCCGAGAGACAGGGAAGTATCATTAAAACGTTACATACGAGCCAGGCGGTGGAATGGGGCCTGATTCACTCATTGAATTAATTGGACATGCAAGGGTTCAACCGGACGGAACCTATACACGGCGAGGCGACGGATGGACGAGCGACGTTGGGCTTTTGATCGTGTCGCTCTCGTCGCGCGAGTACTCGTTATCGTTACGATGATGTCGCACTTTGGCACGTCGTGCCTCCCGCGATTTTTTTTACATCGTGCGGATGCAGCATGCAAGCCAACAGGCGAAAGTAACGCTGTCAATTTGTCGGTAAAAAAAAGGTGGTCCTCTTTCTATACGCTGCAGAGAAAATATAGTTTAATCGAAATATATTGCACATACTAAGTCTCAATTCTCAAACAAAAAATCTCACATTTATCCCATCTATTTTAGAATAATAGTTTCTGTGTAAGTAATTTTGATCAATTTATTGAAATAACTGTATGATAAAAATTTATATTTTACTGTGTATAAAATTTGATAATTCCGCGAGACGTTATTTTAAGATAAGATATTGCTGTAGGCGATACAGGAAGCTATACATTCGAGATCTATCCAAGTCGAATTGTCAAGTAATGATGTTCATAGATCGGCGCGGCCTCCACGGGCGACTAATTAATCGCCATCAGCAGATGACGCACCCGCCACTGACCGAGACGATCGCGAGATCGAGATAAGCCTCGTCGAATGGTAATACTCTAAGCTTCTGCTCTTCGCCCGGCCGATCCTGCCACAGCTCGTTCTCATTAGTGACTCATCTGCTCGAAGCGTAGAGGCAAGTGACATCAGGCACCGACAACGACTAAAAGCAGACGCGCAGGTATCTTTCTACCTGACGAATCGGCAGAAGGAGTCACCCCCTGCGTTGGGCTTCGCTTTTAAGGTGTCATCTGCCTCCGAGAAGTCAGGTGGACGATGGTGAGGAGATAGAAAAGACTCGTCATGATTATGTCCAACGAGTCGCCTGGTAGCCGCCGGTGTAACGCGCACCACGCATCTCGTAATGACGCCAGAGGCGAAGGCAAAGGCGGAATTATGGTGCCCGGACCTCCCGCTGAGAGCGATCGAGCAGGTAGACCGCGCGTTCTTACCTGGTCAGCGGGTCGCTGCTGCATTGCACTACGGTACTCCGCTAATTCAACGTGCGCGTATACGAAAGTGCCGTTTATGGTTACGAAACTCTGAGAGGGAGACTCTGGTGGTGGGTGGTCGCTTGTCCGGCTACGAATTTATTAATTACTAGGATTGGCACGCATATGCACGGAACGGCTGATTTAAGATTCCGCAATAACGCTCGCGTATTACTTAGCTTATGCGAGAGCGCTAATTGGGTCGCGCAAATGATCCGTAATATGTAAAGTATTTACTGTTAAGGGGGCTTACACAGGGGGTACAGACCTATTTGTTCGAATGGTACTGCGTATAATAGAAAGGAAATATCTCATGTTCTACACAGTTAAATATGATCGTGTTCTGATTATATATTTAATATTTAAGTACGTATGATCACAGAAATGCATTGATTTGAATATCTGATTATATAATTGTCGAGTAAATTAATACGATCGTTCACTTTTACTTTATATCAGCGAAAGAAGTAATATTATAATTAAAGCAGCGTTGCCTCCTTGCTCCTTCATATAATTACATTCGATATTTTATTAAGCATGCCTTAAACTAAAACATATCAAAAATTCAGCCAATTTGACCGAAAGCCATTTTTCATTGATTTAGTGCGGGGATAAAAAACATCATTGTTCATTTATGCTGCATATTTATTTAATGTTGAATAATATAATATATAATAAGTCGTCATCAGTATACAATGATACGTCGTCAATATTGCCGTCATTAATAACCACTGATTTTCTGCGCAATCCAATCATTGAATTTGGACACCCTGGTGTACACGGATGGCGCGCCTGGATAACCGCATGGCATAATACCCCAAGATACTATTCCAGTGAGCACCGGCTTTTGTCCATTGTACGAGATTAGAGGGCCACCGGAGTCACCCTAAAAGTGTATTAAAGATTTTGATTAATAAGGCGATGCTGCTGCTACGGTGATTTATTAAATTTATTGAACGTCTGGAACTTACACTGCATGCGGAGATTTTCTCGTCAAATGGCCCATCAGTGCAGACATTGGTTTCATGAACGGGAGAAGATCCAGTCAAGCGCTCGACGGATTCGTGACAAATAGCGCGATCGACGTACTCCTTCTGAACATGCTGGAGTATGTCTGGCATTTCCGGGAAATGGCTACTCGAGGTGGAGCCCCATCCAGCAAGCCATGCCTCTCCCGATGGGTCACTTTCTGGTGCTGCCAACTCGATGGCTTGTACTCGCTTTGTCAACTTCAATGGGGACGCAAGCTTAAGCAGACCAATGTCATATGGACCAACACCACTGAAAATTAGAAAATATATACTTTGATATAAATATAAAATTATATATTTATCAGTTACAAACCTTTAAAAGTAATTGTGTTTAAACTAATACTAGAAGAATTGTAGTATTAGTGGAAAAATAATAATAATCTATAGAGTTGACATATTTTGTATATATGAAACATAACAGATCCTGAGATTTATTTCGTGCATCATCGCTTATCTGAGATATAGGTTTTCCGTGTTTCATGACTTATCTGATATAAAGTTTTTCTAATCGTAAATATTAAGTGATAACCGAATTACCAATATGCTGCGTCATTATTAGTAATTTTAATTATTGTATTTATTCTATAAATAGAACTGCTGATTATTGATGCAAGAAACATTATATTCTAGATTGCTAATATACACAATTACAAGTCAATTATAAATACAGTTATACAATTATAAATACAAATATATCAAGAGACACGATAGTGTCACGCACCAAGTACGCGCGGAGCGAGACCGACCGTGACTCATTTACGCGACGTTAAACGAACATTAATCCGAATAAAAACTAATTGTTCGTACTTATTGCTTTTCAACGTTTTACTTACCCCCCATATTTTTCATGTACATAACCTTCAGAAACTTCGACCGTCTGTTCATCGGGCTCATTACGTAGAATATGGTGCTTTCCAGCCTTGACGCTAATATAATTTACAGAAGGAACTGCTTGAATGCAGTGCGCTGCAGTTATGATCCAGCGCTCGTTCAAAATGGATCCGGCGCAGAAGTGCTGGGAGAAGAAGTCAAGGGAAACTATGTATGGGTAAGCACCTTCCGGTGCCTCTTCACCTCCGACTATCTGAGGTGAAAAATGCGGCAAGATCGGCATCTGAAGACCGACTCGGGGTCTCACTAAAATTTAAATTAATAATATTTTAACAAATATATTCTCGCCAGAAGAAGTTGAGCGTAACACAACAAAGATAGTTCTATGAAATATATGATTAGAAGAATTTGTAATAATACAATATAAATTAAGTCTTGCTCTCTTACTTAACGATGCATTTTGTATTTTGTGTTGTTTTAGTGATTATTTTTTAAATGTAACTTAATGTTTATCCCAAATTATATGTGTTGTATAAATCAAGAAAATTGACTTACCGGCGCTGGCGACCGCCACTGCTAGGAGAGCAAAGAATACGATTGCTTTGAGAAACATTTCGCTGATTGATGTCAAACCAACGAATTGACTGCATTTTATACTCGTTTCATGGAGTGCATTCATCCGAATATGATGCATTCCGATATGATATCCGAACGATCAATGATAACGCTGCACTGATAATCCATTGTAATCTATGAAAATTCATAATACGTTTACGATAAGATAGATTTACTGTAGACGCAGTCTGACGACTTAATTATATTGATATCATTGTTGATTCGAGTCAAATAGTACGTCGCAGCTAATTTTAACGAATAATGCTACTAGTCCTACATATTGTATATATTGTCAATATAACAAAATCTATACAAATTCTGCGAAATGGCTTCTATAAAATTAAATACACTGATATAAAATGTGTAAATGTATAAGTTCACAGAGTTCACTTATTTACATAAAGAGAAAAAATTTATTTTATCTTTACATTTTTTTATTCACATAATTACATTTTATATTTAAAATTTAATTACTTAATTTACTTACCTCAATCAATCTCTGCTTTTTTTTAGAAAAAAGTACTCATCAATAAGTCAAACAAGAACATCCGCTAAGACAATAATGTTAAGAAATGCATATTAAAATTAATAAAGGATTATACTTTAATTATTCTGATAATGGTCGTAACTTTGAAATAAATTAAATTTAACAAAAAACAACGAATATAACAATGATAAAAAATATTATTAATTAGAAATTAATTTTTCTTCTTATTTGTTATTTGTTTCAATATTATTTAAGTCACGTTTTTTTTAACATGCTAATCAAATATAAAAGTTATTTAAATAATAACAATAAAACATTTTTTCAGCTTCAATCAATTAAGCTATAATTCAATTATGATGGATCATTCAGTAGATAAACTGTTTATATTATCGTTATCTGATTATGATCAATCATTATCTCTCCTCAATAAAAATATGAAGAGGAATCCGGGAAGTAATCCAGTTTATGATAGATAGAGTGGATTTATTTTTGATTTATTTATTTATCAAGATTGTCTGTGATAAAAACGGAATTTCCAGTTTCAGGTCAATGAAATAAAGAGTTTAGATTAGGAAGAAAATAATTATGGAGGGGATAAAAGCATAAATGCCCGAATTATCTCTTTCTGCGAAATATTTGTTTATTTCTCTTTTTCCGTATGCTTTCAACGAACCACTCTGCGCTGTTAGTACCTACAACTTCCAACTCACAATCAGTACATTACAGGTAACATAAGCATTTATAATTAACCAAGATAATTATATTTAAAAAATATTAAATACATTTAAGTTAATATTT